GTGACATTTGGGAGGCAGATCAATGCTAATCATCTACAAAATCATGTATCGGAGTATAGTTATTATTTATCAAAATTCTTGTCTATCAGCGCTTTTTGTAACAGGAAGTAAGTAGTTTCTGGATACCAAATATCGAATTGGGCCTGTGGAGTGGAAGTTCACTCAACTCCTATCAACATGAAGATGCGTAAATATCAATGAGAGATCTATCAGGGTCATTGGCTGCTCACAAGATGTTTTGTATCCCAGACTTGATCTTTTCCTCTGTCTTTCAGGCGATATATACCTATGAGATCTTCGTCAAGGCAATGAAGTCACAACTTCTGACATCGGTATTACCGAAATTGTCTAGCAAATACACGTCTAAATAGACTAAATAGACTGGGAAACCGAGGTCATATTGAGCATATTCAACACCATAACTTGTGTCTAGTCTAGGAATTTTATGTGTCAGGATCCCGATGTTTCGGCAGTGGCTGTTGGAAGAGCTTGCCATTCCATGCTATCGCTCACCTTCAATGGTTAGGCTGGGTTTAAAGAATGATTTAACCTCCTCAGAAATTATCTTTTGCTTCTTGATTCATCCAGAAGTGTATATCTTCAAACCTGTTGCTTGTCGACCAGAAGGTTCCGGGCGGATTACCAGTGACACAGCTCACAATCGAGGGCATCGAAATCACGCTGGCTGTTCTCCATCTTTCGAATATCATATCAAACGTGAAAGTGAACCAAGATCTGTAGCTGTTTCATTCATAAGTACATAAGTACACACTTAATAGTATAAAAAGATGCTGAATTTGAGACATGTGTGTTGGGTTGAGACTTTATTAAAATTGTTTGCAAACTTCACAACAAAAATATTCGAGAGCTCTCTTAGATTTTCATACATCTTCCTACCAATTCCGGAATTCCGAGGATCTTAACCTGTCGTAGCTTGCTATGCTCCTACCCGAACCCCTTGCCAATTTTCAGTCTCCGACCAATCACAAGTCAAGATTGCCAACTCCCAGAAGCAACAACAATATAGATAGGCACCAAGAATTGACAGTTGACTATTCTAAGGCCTTATACCTCTCACTTCAAACTCTTTTCCTCACATCCAGAACCAACTCGGTGACGTCGAATGATTCTCAACAGCTCTCAGTAAATCCTTCGATCATCAAGAACTCGAGAAACATCGGGAGGTCTCTTTTCTTTATTTTTCCTTGAATCTGACTTACCAGTGCCTTTCTACTGAGCTTCAAGATATCTACTTAAACTCTGATTTGCCAAAACTGACAGTATAATCGAAAACCACAAATACCCAAGTACCTCACAAAAGCCGAAAAACACGGCATACCACGCAAAATTTCCAACAAGTCCTTAAATCTCATACCTCTCAACATGTCTTCTGAGTCAGGCAGTATCTCTGTCAATTTCAGAGCTGAAAGTTCCCCGGTGCGCCCTACTACACATGAAGTTTTGGTGGACGGATTAGATGTAAGTTTTGTGTTTTTTACCCTCAATTCTTGCAACAAACATCCTCTCGATAATCTTATGGTCAGTATATTCCATGATTTGGAAAATTGGAAACACTGTCTATGGATCAGCTTTAACTTCGATGGCCATCGTTGCCAAAATAAGCCAAGTTGGATACTGTTAGATAGAATTCTTTTCAGTCTTCATTCCCACTTGATATCCCAAAAAACGATCTCAGAATTGACTCCTTATACTCTAGACCCCCTCGCCCAAGAAGTCATTGCCAAGCAAGTCTTCAAAAAATAAGAACGCCACACAGAAGAAACAGAAGACGGCAGACAAAATGACCAAAGTCACGACCGTTGAAAAAGATGAAGATGATTCTGATGTCGATAATCCCGGTCATGAGAATGAAGTCATCTCGTCAGAAGCCGGCACTACCCATGGAAAGACTCTTTCTAAGGCAAAGACTGTCATCAAGGACGAGGATGGTGGCGAAGAAGAAGAAGAAGAAGAAGATGCTGAGGAAATCGTTACGAAGAAACCCGCAGCTGCCCCCAAGTCCAAGTCTTCTAGCACCCACAAGCTGGACATCAAGATCAAGGAGAAAGCCAAACCATCGGATGAAGTAACTCCAAATATCTCCGATGCTGACACCAAAAAGGCTGCAACAACTACCCAGTCCAAAAAGAGACGTGCGGCTACTTCCACGAACGGTGGAGCTCGCAAGAAAGCCAAGTTGCCAGCAAATGCTTACAATCCTGATTCTTATGCCCAGTTGAACAGGGAAGACAAGTTATTGTTTGATCTCAAAACCAAAAACCCAGAGTCTCCATGGAAGGAACTCATTGTTCAGTTTAACCTGGAAATACAGGGTAAACCTGAACTCAAAGCTGGTGCGCTTAGAATGAGATGGCCCAGAGTCAAGGCTGCAGCGACCGAGATTGAACATGGTGATGTATGTCGACAATCGGCTCCACATCAATTATATTTCTCTGACGTCTTGTGATTGCTAACTTCTCACATCAGATCCAAAAGATGTGCATCTCCAAGCAAGATATGGAAGACCAACTCGAGAATACGAGAGATGAGCTGTTGGCAAAATTTGAAAGAGAGAGAGAAGCTGTGTTGCGAAAATTCAAGACTGAAATGTGGACTGAAATTGCTAAAAACGTTGGCCAAAATGGTGGCAAGGAATATGAACCCGCTATTCTGCAAAGAAAGTACGAACTCTATAAGCGCCAGGGTCGTATCGATGACAACGATAAATACTTGGCATGGACTGAGGAGGATGAGAATGGCGTGAAAGCAGAAGCGCAGGATGACGAGGAAGAAGAGGCCATTGAAGAAGAAGAAGACAAAGACGACGATGAAAACGAAGACGATGACGAAGAAGAAGCCGGCGCCCAAGAGGATGCAAATGGTGAAGATGAGATCGAAGTCGACATCAAAGGAGAAGACACCAATATGTCTGAAGCCGAAGCTTGAACGACACCAGAGTTTCGACCACTAGCACTTCAGAGTGGGCCAGACTTCATAATGGAGAGTTTTCATTTTCTGTGGGTATGTTTCGCGGCAGGAAAGCCTAAGCATCGCTAACCTTCAAGATAGCGGAGCTACTCACTCCTTTGCGTTGCTATCGAGATCTTACAGTGCAATATTCTCCGGCTCTCCTTGAATCTGCTTCTGAGTGTCTATTGGTTGGGAAGTAAGCGGTTCATGATGCCTTCACTACTTTTTTCTTTAGAATGCATGGGGATTTTCATGGGATTTGTGTTATTTTTTGCTTCGACACTGGTGGCTTTGATTTTGATTTGAAGGTGGCGGATATTGATGGGATGCAGAATGGAGGCATTGGCTGTGACTTAAACTTCATCAAATTGCCATAGCACAAATGAAATTGTTTCAGTCTACCAAAAGAAAGTAAAATCTTGGTTCTCATATATCGACTTACCATGGTGATATGACTCCAGCGTATTCAATATATCTAAGATGATGAATGATTCAAGCTTATCTCTTCTTCTCCCCGAGGTACCTAGGATGATCATGTCTTGTCTAAATTTGATATCAAAATGGCATCTATCCCGTCTCATGGTCATGCTCTAACATCTTTGGACTATATTATTATCTCGCACACTTCACTTCGACATATCACCTGATACTAAAGGCTCATAAACTCGAGAATCCATGATTTATTTGAAGGAAATGCCAACATTAACAGTATATCATCCCCGATAGCGAGATTAAATATATTTTAACGTCATCTTGACTTATACTATAACTTATAAGAGTTCGAAACCAGATGAATGTTGATCAATGTATGGCGAACGACTCAACTTTAGGCTCATCAGGCTCATGGCCATCATGCAAACCAGAAACGGCCATGCAGAGAACTTCCTACCGTGTCAACAAATTGCATTTGAGAACAAACTCATAGATTCATAGTCCCCACCCTCTTCATTGCACCGACCAAAGAGCTCCTACTCTTTCTGGCTCATAGCTTGAGGTCTGCCGCAACAATCGCACCAAGAACGCAAACAATCATTCCTTCCAGCCATATCTCCCAGCTTCCATACCCTAGGAGAATTATGCCACGCTCCCCACACCATATCCCCCCTCCATTTCCCATCACACTAACCCCGTCATCTGACTCGACTCCGACTCCCATGAATCCACCCCCTCCCCAACTATCGTCTCGACCATCGACAAGCTATCCAAACACTGCACTCCGAACCTCTCACATAAAACCTTCACATACCCCTCCTTCCAAAACCCCTTTTCTACACAAACAATCACCTTCTGTCCTTTACTCTTCAACGCCATCCCCAATTCCAACAATGCCGTCCCTCCCGCCCCTATTTTTCCAGCGCGAACATCCGCTCCTATGAAACCCACCACAACAATATCCGCTAATTCCAAGCCCTCCAGTTCGAAATTCACCTGTGTGACAAATTTCTCATCTGAGAGATCTTCACGCCAAGTCGAGTCCCAGGCGGGGTTGTAGGGATCGATTATTGTGACTGGTGCAAAGCTATTTGGTTCGCTGGTAACATTTTTATCATCTGTGGATGTGGAACGAGAGCGGGCTAGAAGGCGATCTGTGAGGACCTCTTGCCAGCGGCTCTCGTCTTTGTTGTAGTTTGTGGTGCCGGAGAGAAAGATTACTGGGTGGGGTAGATTGTAGGGGTCGATGATTTTGCCATTTTCGATCAAGTCTGAAGAGGGGGTTAGTAGGATGTTTTGGTTTGGCGACTTGATGGATGTTGACATTGCGCTAGAGATGAGTGTGTTTGCGTACTATTACGATGTTGAGTTAGAAGATGATGTAATATTGCCGGACGATTGAGGCTGTAGTTTGTTTGATCTGCGTTGCATCGCATCCGCATCTGCATTTGTCCATTGGCCAATCACGAATCCATAAACCTAGTCATATCACGAGATTCGTGAAACATACATCCCATGTGAACCTCCATTATATCATACTCTTGAAGTACCTATATAAAGTATAAATTCAATCATAAATCATCTTATCTCCAATCTATTTATCGATCCTCTAATTCAACTCCATCATCAAATTCGTCTTCTGTCCCTTCCATTACATGTTCATTTCTATGATCTTGCGGGAACCTCGGGCTCCCTCTCCTTCCTATCGTCTCTCCACTTGCAAGTCTAATTCTTCCACCACTAGCACTATGTACTTTATTACCCACCCAAGTTCCCACACTTCTCATTACACCCCACAGCCTTTCTTCATTGTTTGATAAAACGGGACTTCGTTCTTCTCTAAATCCTTCGTTGGCCTCCACTTTGAATTGGTATTTCAGGACGTCTTTGACAGTTACTAGGCCTTCTAGTTTTCCATGGTATTCGATTAAAATCACTCGAGGTCCAATCTTTTGGAATAATTCCATGACGGTTTCCAATGGTAATCGAGGATGGACTGTGACAGGCGTAGAATCTATGAAGCGACTGAAATCGACCGATGATGATGCCATGCCTTCGAATGTTATAGAGGCTGCTGGTGTGGTGGGAGTCACGGGATCCTGAGTTAAATTGTTGTTCGGAGGCGAAAAATAGCATTTTGCCGAAGGAGAGATCGTTCTATCTCGTTTAACACGATCGATTGCGTATCTTAATTCTGTCCGGCCAATGTATCCGACTAAAATCTTTGAAACACGATCTTCAACGATTGGGAATCCTTGGTATCGATCTTCAAGGAGCAACTTTTCCAGATGCCTCATTGTATAGCCAGTTGTCGGCAAAATGACCACATCGCCTGTCATGACTTGAGATACTGGCACACCGAAAGTATGCTCCTCTTTATTGTCGAGGAAAGGAAAACCGTTGAACCAAATCATGCGATCCGCTATACCACCCTTTCCAAAGAATTCAGAGACGGCTTTCGTTACCCCAACAACAATCATAGTTGGAAGGATATAGGTTGTTGCACCTGTAAGCTCGAACATAATAACGACGACGGAGACAGTAATGTGCATGATTCCACTCAAAGCAGCAGCTGCACCAAGGAATGCATATGTTCCTGGTGTGATACAAGGCACATCGGGTTGACATGCAGCAAAAAATACGGAGGCGGGATATGCTTCATGAATCGCCTGGACGAGAATACCGATAGTACGACCAAAGGATGCTCCAATTGCCATGGATGGGACGAAAATTCCAGCTGGAACTTTGCATCCATATGAGATGATTACGAGAAACATTCGAATGATTGTTGCCAAAGTCAATGAAAAGACCATTTTCCATCGGTTCTCTTTATCACAAAGTCCATTGTAATCCTCCGCACCTTCACATTCCAAAAACAAAATCTCCATACTCTCGGTCATATCGATTCGTAAAAACATGTTCGGATAGCAAATCAGAGCGGTTCCAGTCGCAAGTAAAGTCGCTTCGAGTATTGCATACTTGGTGAGATGCTTCTTTCGAAATGCTTGTGCTCTTAGATTCCACTTGATCATAAATGCTCCATAAAGTCCACCAAATATACCTAATATGATGTAGAAAATTACCTCGAAAAAATGCCATTCACGATCATAATGAACTTGAAACATGACAAGTTGGCCTGTTCGGAATGGGTTCATTGCTGCAAGAACAGCTGTTGCAACCAATGCGCAGAAATAACTTCGCCACATAGTCTTCAGAGGAAAATATGAGGACATCTCTTCGAGGGAAAACAGAACACCCCCTATTGGGCTACCAAATGCCACTGCAACACCAGCTGCTGCACAAGCACTTAGAATTTCTCGAGTTTTGGAGGCATTTCGTTTATATTTTTCGAAAAGTCTGGAGATGACATTGCCGGTACATACTGCATAATGAACACTTGGTCCTTCTTTACCTACTGATAAGCCAGATGCAATTGCCAGAGGGAGTGCAATTGATTTAATGATCAAAGTCCAGAATCCAAGAAATCCTTTCATGACAAACCCAGCAATGATGCATTTTATTTCAGAAATTCCAGATCCAGCTGCATAAGGGGCGAATGATCTTACGAGACTTGCTGAAGTTAATGCGAATATCGTCTAAAGAGGTCAGTATCGATGCGACTAAGTTAAACAAGAATACCTACAGCGAATAAAGTATAGATCACATAATTGACTGGTGGGAAAGAGCTCCACCTATGCCAATCATCACATCCTACACTAATTAGCACCATATTTCTCATCTACTGGTCATAAACATGCCTGTATCTTCTCCCCAGCAACAAAAGCTCTCGTTGAGGTAGAATCCAGTCTTGCAATATCCCAACTTAATATCTGAGAGCCATTCCGTGATTATATTCAAAAATGCAGCATTAAGACCAATTGCAGCGCCTAAACGTTTTGCATCAGCATATTACCCCTCACCACATTTATACCATTCCGTACCTATAATAGTAACTACAATCCAGGCTTGCGCCGCATCATAAGATTCCCATAATTTGTATCTCCAACCCGCATGTCCACCTCTTTCGAAGAAACCCGCAGTTTCTCTCTTTCGAACTTTCCTTCGTATTTGTTCTTTCGCCGCATCTTGAACCCAATCTTGAGAAGTGTCAACTTACTTGTCGCAAACCGGATAAAAGAGGGGTATTACCTATAGTCGTGAAATCCTATTGAATCATGATTAGCATAAGGCTTCCAGAGCCGCAGATTGTAGCGCATAAGGTAGCATCATACCTCATAACGTTTGATTTCCTCGATTTCCTCATCTATCTGACGTTCTGCGACATTCGGCACATTGGTAGCCTCGCCTTGTTCAGCACTTGAGACGGCAAAGGATATGCGATGAGAGAAAGAAGGACGTTGGTGGAGGCGCGCTGATGGCACAGAAAAAGAAGATGATCGTGAGTTCATGGCCCCATTTGTATCGACACCATTGTGGGAATTGCAGTCATGATACATAAGAGCTCGATGTTCGAGATGGCTTACTGAGGGTAAGCGGTACATGCGGCCGCAAGCGTCGGGTAAAAGCTCTCGGCAGTCAGTCTTTATATCAGCGAAACAAGCTGAAATCGACCACCCATTTAAAAGAACTTTGACAATTCAGATCTCTTTCTGGTATGATGTTAAATGATAAGAATTCCAATTCTCCATACAAATAATAGTCAAATTTCATTTGATTTTTCCACAGATTTTGATGTTCATGATGAATTGAATAATGATTCAATAAATAAGCAATATTGAGACAAGCTAAAAAAGGCCAGTTTCCGCCCATTTTTTTTCGCTTGTGTAGAGAGTTAGTCAGTCTCTCTCTATTATCACTTTGTCTAGATTTTGACGCCTTACAGATTAGTCGCATCTTTTTCCTGACATCACATTGAGAAGGTTGGGTAGATTTAGGCAGTCCCGTAATGTGCAGGTTAACATTTCGTTTCACGTACATCTCAATGTTCAATCTCAGGTTGAATGCTAATATTTGATATTTCTACATGTTTGCTAGTTTTTGCTTCTTGTCAAACTTTTGACCGCATGCCACCTTGATTACAGGCCGTTCCTGCCATCCTTTCCAGTTGTGAGCTTTACATGCTCTGTAGCTTGCTTCATCAGAAATTGTTAAGTCTCTCATGCACTCTGGGTCATGTCTATCACCATTGACGCATTTGTCTTTTGGGACTTGACCACTTCGAAATACACTTTTTCGGCTAGCTTGACACTTTCTGCGAGAACTTGAGGCTTCTTCGCTTTCTCCAACGACGTGAGATGGGCGTCTACATGCCTCGTTGCCACAAAGCTTGCTTTTTGTGAAGCAGCTATCATCCGATAAACATTTCGCTTCTAGAGCTAGTATGCCTTGTTTGGGTGGCATATGATTTGAAATGAGCAAGACGACCACCTCGTCCAGAATCAGCAGCCATGTATGATTCATTGAGCAATGCGAGCATCCATATTTCAACTCTATTGTCGCAGATGCCACTGCTCCCTCTAGAATGCATTTTGTCAAGTCCGGGAATGCCTTACTTTCAAGCTCCAAGAGACTTTTGCGAATGATTGCTAGCGTTCTTTTCTCCTGAAGACCTCTTTTGAAACACGCTGCATGATGTGGAGGATCTGATGTCCCAGAGACTTTTAAATGTGATTTAGATTTCTGAAACAGCTCGTCTGCCCATGCCATCGTCTCAGTCCGCCATGCCCCTTCATTCACGAGAGGCGAAAGGTTTGGTTTTTGCTCGTTCGTAGAATCGTAGGAACTTTGATATGAAGCCTCGTCAGCAACAGAGTCGCCCTTGGTGGAAGCATCATCTACAGCAATGTTTTCTACAGCATTAATCTCTTCCTTCAACTGGAACGAATCATGTCTATCGACGTCGGCTCCACCATCATCACCATCATCATCAGAAATTTCAATAATTTCCAACTTGCGCTTGATGCCGCTACCAGCAGCATCCTTTTCCGAGTTGTTTGTGGCCGTTTCGTCGTCAACTGCTTCTTCCTTTATAGCCGCTGTGAATGCTTTGCTTTGATTATGGCTTGACACTGTTGGCCTCGCAATGATGGTTCCTGTCTGTGCCGTTGATTCGCCCATCTTTCTTTTGCTTTCGGTCGAATCTGTGGCCCTCTGGGTTTCATTGTCCGAGATATTATTGCTCATTCGAATGTGCTGTTTCTCAATCGTCGTCGTTTTTTGTACAGTGAAGCGCGCGGCACTCCTAGTATCACGTTTCCACGACGATGCAAGTTGTTTGCGATTACTTTCGTGAGACTGAAGACCCGGCGACCAACATGAAGTTGGAGCTTCCCTAGATCTGACAATACTTGCCGACTTGTTTGATGGTAGCGTAGCTTTGGCTTCTTCGACGGCATTCGCAATATTCGACGCCCCCTCTGCATTTTCAGCAACCTCCTTGCTTTGACTGTTACCTCCATCCACAGCTCCCTCTAAAGTGGACGGCTTCTGCGTCGTCTCATTGCTGCTTTTCTCAATGCCTTTGATTGATGTGGCAGTTCCTTGCATATCAGATTGAGCTAGAGTACCAGAACGGAACTTTACATCAACACATGTTAGCTGCTTGTTGAGCACACAATGAAGAAGTCTGAACTCACAGTGGCAAGAATTTTCAAAGCTTTGATCCGGTCATTTTCTGCAATCCAAAGGGCGAATTCAAGAAGTCCCACTAAATTCCCCTTATCTGGTCGACTTTCGAACTGAGTTGATAGTTAGTACAGTCGATGGTGAACGTTTTGAAAGTCTCATATAATGCGTATATGCCTCAAATCAGGGGAAAGTCCACAGATGATTTGGACATCTAGAAACATGTGTACACGATGAATAATTTAGACATTCCACCTCATTCAACGCCCTCGAATCTTATACCGAATCACTCACCCTTAAAAGCACGTCGGTAGCCTCCCAAATAGATCCATTCGTATGAAAGACAGCAAAACGAATCAGTTCATTGTCAAATCCCAACTCCGCAACATTTTCGATGGTCAACTGGGAAGGTTCTTGGGCAGGCTGCTCCGAGACAGCTCTTTGTGCTAGAGGCTCACTTGCGCTTTTTTTGGGGTCAGTCATGGTGTTTTGCTCTGATTGGACGGCCGAGATCAATTGAGAAAGTCAGCGTGTCCTTTAGCTAGATACGTGGCGTGGATTTCTTGCGGAATAATTGTTGAGTGTGTTGTTGTATCTGCTTCGACAATAAGGGCGGAGAATTTGAGGCTGACTTGGTTCAATAGGTTGAAAGGCGGAGGGCACGTAGGGAAAAAATGGTGGGGAAGAAGCTGGTTGAGGTTGGAGAAGCGAGAAAAGTGAACCAAATATGGAAAGGGGAGCGGAACAAAAGTGAATATTTCATCATAATCTAGCTATAGCGTTCTATCACTTATATCACTTCCACCGATATTGTATAGCATGATTTACAACGTCGTTGTACAATTTAAAGGCCATATACATTGTCGATTTATTGGCTGTTCAAGATACCTTTACAAGAGAAGCTTCATGCATCTCGCTTAACACAATAATCCTCGACACCATTTTCCATGTTGTGTGCTGCTAGGCCATCATAGATAAACTTCTCCCCACGTCATGATGCCCTTCATGCCAAATAAACACACACCCGCTCCTACTGACACCGCAGAAGACACAAGGCCTTGCCGTCGCTGGAATGGAATATCATAGTCAATGCTGACTTCAAAACAAAACTGAATAATAAAACTCGTAGCAGAAAAGAAATGTTGTAATGCGCCGAAGGCCAGCTTCGAATGTTTTTTTGAGTGCAGGTGCGCCGAAGGAGTACTGTTTAACCCGAGCCGATATCGAAATAAAAGACTCTTCACCTACTTCGAACGTCAAGAAGATTGCTAAGTCGCCTGAAATTTCTAATAAACTTCATTTGGTCTCGAACTGAGTGATGACGCTGATAATTTGATCAAGCCAAGAGCAAAAATCGAGAGTCATTTTACAGGACATGGGAGTTTCCATGTGAACCCTGATATGTGAGCTGGTGTGCCAACAAGTTCGGAATGAGTACTTTCCTCTGTCGTTGGACTAGTAGGTAGACATGGCGGGTTATGAGGAAGACGATCAGTTCCACCTTGACAAGAATAACCAAGTCTATTCCGGGCATTGGCACGACATCTTCGACGTGCTTCAATAGTAGCTGCGTTCTCGTCTAACAAGTGCGATGGACGGGAACAAAACTGGCTATCACAAATGGTATTGTGATAGCTCTGATTGAACCATGACTTAACCTCATCTATTGTGGGCGAACTTTTCCGTGCACCAATAGGACCAAACTTTCGTAGAGAAATTCTCCACTTGTGTTTACCTTTAACACAAGTACATCCGTTGGTAAGCAATCTAATGTCTGGATGAGATCTGTCACCACCCTTCCTAATCAAACATGAATATTTGCTGGGGAAAAATTCTCTCTCAATATCCATGATCCGCTGATGAATAAAACTCCAATTCTCGTCGATTTTTATCGCCTTTATGAAACAATCTTCAACCGCTCTGGCCGACTGAGATTCATGGCGTGGCCGAGCTACAAGTGGTTTTTGGAGGTGTCGTAAAAGATTTTCTGCCCATTGATCGGGGGGCTCGTCGAGGTCATTGTCATTTCCCAGCTCAGCCATTTCTTCACCGACCTGGTTATGAGCAAACTCCAACAATGTCTTCGTTTTGTTAACTATGGAACATTATCGGCATGGTATCCAAACGATACAGAGGTTGACACACCTGACCTGCCATTTTTGATAAACTCTTGCAGCTTGCCACCTTCATCATCATCAGCATAATGATCATCGGAGGAGTTATCGTCGAAGGAGTCATCAAATTCAGCGTTACTACCACTGCCATCATCGTTGTAATCATTGTTGCCAGCAACGACACCTTGATCATCAACGACATTCGAGTCATTCTCAATAGGGTCGATGGTCTCGTCATTTTGTTCCGCCAACAAATCGTTCTCTACAGTTTCTTCAACTTTCACCAGAGCGTCCACAAGTGATCTATTAGGCTTTGAATCGTTTGGTGAAACTTTGTGTGTGGAAGGATCCGGAGTTCCCTCTGTCTTGATATCATTGCCAATCAGATCGACAATCTCCTTGTTGTGTTCCATTGGAACATTAGCTTTTACAACCACTTCACCACTCGCACGAGCTTCCACGAAAGACTCATTGGGTTTTGTTCTCTTTGGTACACTTCCTTGCGAGACAGGAGTATGGAGATTAATCCTTTTTATACCATATCTAATAGGACTGGTGTGACTTGCTGGTGGCTTTTGCTTGGCCGCAGGTCTTTGTCGAAACTAAAATCTTGTTAGCTGAAAGTTTGTAAGGATTAGTTGATGCTTGAGCAATAAAAACATGCCTCAGCTATTGACTTCACGGCCTGGACGCGATTGTTACTTGATGCCCACAGGGCAAGGTTCAGAAGATTCGACTTGATATTGAGTTGGTTGGGCTGAGATTCGAACTGTTTCTATCTTAACATCTCAAATTCAGAGCAAGATTATGGGACCTAAGCTACCGACCTCTAGCAAATTGTCTACGGCGTCGAATAAATCATCATTTGATGGTACACAGCAAAATCGACTGGTTCTCGATCGAACCCTAAGCTGTAGAGCGTTTCAATGGTCAAGTCACCATCTTTAGAAGAAGTCAATCTTATGTTTAGGCCTGGGTAGTTTTGGAAGATCGGCGAGAGAGGTGTGGTGAATGATAACACCCAACAGAAGAAAGACGAGTCGACAAGCCTCGTGGATGCTTTTGGAAGCTATCGAGAGTGTTTAGTTGTTAGAAAAGGGAAGAGTGTCTCGACGCCTAGAATGCCTTTTTCGAAACAAACAAACAAACAAACACGCATGCAAAATCTAGTAGGCAAACGCTGGTAATGTGTTCTATTGGATATTAAATAACGTGTTAACACGTGAAGCTGCAGTTTTCCGCTCATCTAGGACTTTCTCCTCAATGTAACATGAAATCCTTGTGGGTCCACTTCTCCGTAGCCTTTCTCTTTGCCTTCTTTGCGAAGCTAATAGGACGTCTGCTCTCGACTTTTCCACGAACCAACATATTTCTGTACCTATCTTTCAACAAGTTACCCTCGGGTTTCAGTAACCTCAATGATTCTTGCAGCTCATCTGGTAGGACGAGCTCGAGGTCCCTCTCTGGCAAAGAAATCTTTCCCAATTTTCTTCTTCGCAGTTCCATATCATCGCCTTCACTACTATCGTCTTCCACCACCGTCAACGAGCGAGCCTTTTCTTTCTCCGCAAGAGCCTTGGCCAATTTCTTGATTTGTGCAGCTTGTTCTTCTTTCTTTTTGTTATGAGCTGCCATTTTGGCTTTCCTTTCCTCTTCCTTTCTCCTCTTTATCCTATTTCGCTGCGCTTGAGTTTTCCTCTCAGGCCTCTTAGCGTTCAAACGAACATCTTCTGCGCCACTCTCAAAACCTTCCCAAGCAGAATCTTCTTCCCACTCTGACATATCTGCTCGCGCTTCCGCAGCTTCTGCCTCGGCCGCAGATCTATTCGCTGCTTCTCGCTTTTTCTGTTCTAACTCAATAGCAGCCAATCGTTTTTTCTCCGCTGCAAGTTCCTTCTCTCCTTCAGTCGTTAATCTCTCTTCGTAATCTGTGAATACTGGGTTGTAACTGTATCCTCCTTCCGGCTTTTTAACTGCAGGAATATCCTTTCCACTGGCTGCCAACGAAATTGGCTTTTGCTTCCATGAACTGGGGATTGTTGTCTTTTTTGCCTTCTCGAGAAATGAGAATCTGGGATCTTGTTTCGCTTCTTCTATGTCCTTCTGCTCGTCCCAAGGATCGAATGAAGCTTCCGTGACTTCAACCGTCTTCTCTTGATGTCCATCGGCAATTTTGCGTAGTCGAGTAAGCTCTTTATGTGAAATATAACCAGTTCTTTGGCGCTTCGATTCGATAATCCCATCGGTAGTACCTTGTCCTGGGCGCTTCTTCATCGACACTGCTGGAACAGCAGAGCGTTGAGCAATGATTTCATCGGCTTTGAGTGGCTTGGAGGCTTTCAAGTACTTCTTCGGTATCGCAGCATCTCCAGCAGTATCCAAGGTGAAAAGATCAGCGGAATCCTTCTCAGCAATAACTCCACTGCAATTGAATTAGTGATATGTAAATGATTGATTTACAGATGGTCTCTTACCCTGCAATCAATTCATCTCTGACTTCATCCAAACCTTCTTGGACTTCTGTAACATCGACATTCTTTCTCCAAGCTTTCTTTCCTTTCCTTGACTTTTGATTGTGTTGTTGAGGAGCATCTTTAGAGCCCGCAAGTGGTTTAAGGACAGGCATTTTGTTACTGTTGTGTTGCTGAGACTTTGGAAATTCTGGCGATTGCGAGAAAAATAATTTTGAGATTACGATAATTTTTCTGATAGCTACGGTAGCCTGTTCGAGCCAAAGGCTCAGCCTCGGCCGCCTCCAACAATTTACGGTCAGGCTATTGAAGCAAGCTTCTGAAAGTCGTCCTTCTTTGTTAAAAAGGCGATACCGAAGTAAATTCACGACTTTCAGAGATTCCCTGAAATCATCTTAATCAATTAATATAAACTTCTTGACCGTCTTCATATTCTGGAACTTCAAAATGGCGCAAGCAACTGGAACTTACAATAATCCCCTGAAGAAGTTCAAGTACGTTGTTCTCTGTCTTGTCTAATACCACATCACTAATTATGATTGCAGATTGGTCTTCCTTGGGGAGCAAAGCGGTATGAACTCCATGCGGTATTCTATATGGTTGAAAAGTTAATAATGAATTGCAGTTGGCAAGACTTCTCTTATTACACGTTTCATGTACGACTCTTTCGACAACATGTACCAAGCAACGATTGGTATAGATTTCCTCTCTAAAGTGAGCATTCTCCGAGAACCAAGTCCATAGCAATAAGTCTAATACTCTCTTCAGACTATGTACCTGGAGGACAGAACTGTGCGATTACAATTATGGGATACTGCTGGACAAGAGAGATTTCGAAGTTTGATTCCTTCATACATCCGCGATTCTAGTGTAGCAGTGGTGGTTTATGATATTTCAAGTACGGTATTATATTTGTCTTTCAAACTACACATTCTAATGTCTTGTTAGATCGAAAATCGTTCCAAAACACAAGGAAATGGGTGGACGACGTCAGAGGAGAACGAGGAAACGATGTCATTATTGTATTGGTTGGCAACAAGACAGATTTGAACGACAAAAGAGAAGTAACCACAAGCGAGGGTGAAGAGGAGGCAAAGAAGAACAACTTGATGTTCATTGAAACGAGTGCAAAGCTGGGCCACAACGTGAAGACTTTATTCAGGAGGATAGCTCAGGCTTTGCCTGGGATGGAAGGCGCTGATAATGCAGCGACGCCGAACCAAAGTAAGTTTGAATGTGGCCAACGGCATTGGTGTGGCAGTTGCTAACCGTGGAAATAGTGATTGATGTCAACGTCAACCCAACTCCTGCAAGTCAAGAAGGGTGTGCATGTTAAACGAGGAACGTAGTAATGGGAGTAATCAAATTCTTTTCGATGCTTGTCTTAATTGGGACTTTGAAAGGATTAGGAGCATAGCATTTCACAGCGTATTTATATGATATCGATAGCGTACATCTTTGGCGTACCTATTTAATGAGCTCTTAAAGTTATTGTAGACTAGAGGTAGAAAGCTAAGTGATCAGATTCTGGAATAAATGAACACACTTTATCTCACTGAGTCTTCCGTTATGAGCCCCCAAGGATGTATTAGATGTTGATCTACTGACCTGACAGTTTTTAAGCCTCTCGCAAGCAATCCCATTATTTCAATGATAAACGCGACCCTCTCCGAACGGACAGAAATAGCTGAACACAAAAATTCTACACCGCAATCTAAATTTGATATCAAAAAACAATCAAGTGATGTTTCCTTTTGGAATTCCTTAATCCAATAATCTTCCAAATAACAGCTCTTCTTCTTCATTTCACAAGAATTCAAAATTTGAACATAAATTTAAATCCGATTTTAATTTAAGAGCGACTTTCAAATTTGCTCTTTTGTTTGCGGACCTGCTGTTCGGTCTTCTTGTCCATCGCGAGCCCCTTTAAGATTGTGCCGATCCAAATATAGGTGATGGCTTACATAAGCAATACCAATCCGAAGATCCGAAAAACCATCTTCCAAGTTATCAATCAGGAATAACTTTGTATCTTTTCTTTTGGCGCATTGTCGAATCTTTTAACTTCTCGTCGCAACACATTGACGAGTCAAATTCCTACACACATATACAATTTCATGATGGTCTCTTTACCGCGATGGGTGCGGGTTCCTCGCCCCAGGGTAGGTAGTTTCTATTTATCAATCTTTTGTCGTCCATGGCAGATAGAGCAATATTAATTAGTGAACAGACTTTCCTATATCTCATGACTTTACGTACCGGAACAGAGATGATTTCATTATCAATGATCTTCAATAAAGTTACTGGTTTTTACGGTCTTCTCGCAGTGCTTGCCGGCTTGAAGTTGTCGCCTTTACAACTTTCAATGTACATATATTCCGTCGCGGCTCTCGCACTTACCGCGTTCCTCATGCCTCACATCCGCAAACAAACACCATTTCAATGCTTAGCCCTCGCATGGTTTTACTTGTTCGACACGATCATCAACACCGCCTTCACCACCGCATTCGCAGTAACATGGCTCCTAGCCGTAAGCGCCGATCAATCTAATAAGGGTATTCCAAGCGCCGCTCCAGGAGGTAGCACGATTGATGAGACGGCAGGCTTTACAAGCCCAAAATTCAATGTCAGCGCAGTCAACGTTATTGCATCGCCCGCTTCGGGTGCTGGACAAGATGCGGTAGCATACGGGACTGCGGCCGGAGCAACTCTTGAGCAGAGTGTTGGGATCGAAGAAAGCGTTCCTAGTATCATCGTCGTTGGAATTCTCACATTGATTCGAGTCTACTTTATTTTGGTAGTTATGGCATATGCTCGACAAGTTTTAAGGCAGAACATGTACTCTGCCTCTTCAACAAAATTACATCTCAACACCGATGGTAGCACCGACGCTCGCGCAGAAAACCCTTTTGCGATAGGCTCGCCACAAGGGCAAGGCTGGAAGGGCAAACTTGGTAGACTCATGGTGAAGGTTGGAGAAGGATATTGGCTTGGTGGTCAGGTAGATGAAGCATGGGTCAAAGGTTTAGATGGACGATTCAAGACCCAAAGAACATTCAATGGACCTCCAGGTACCATAGAAAGAGAAAGAAGAGCGAGAAGTGGTACAGGACCACCTGTTCCTGCCAAGGGTCTCGGCATTGGGAAGTTGTAAGACTACCTTCAATGTGATGATTCGTCGTTTGGGCAGTGAGGAATAAATATGATAGATGGATTTCTATTGTGTTGGTACGATGATGTAAGCTGTATAGGAAAGCAATGGTGTAAACTGGAGGACGTCATTGGCATGCCATTCTGTTAATACATTTCAGAAGAGCTTGATGATCAATCTTTCGTAACTTCTAAGCTGGAAGAGGTTTTCATAGTACATATGGCGTTCTTTGGGTACATTGGTAGGGGGTGCTTGCAAGCAGTCAAACTTTTTTTGGCAGATTCTCGAATTGCTTATGGTCATGGAATAGGAAATCATTGATGACGGCAATTACTATTATATAATGATTTAGGAATTAATGCAAATTGATAGTTGCAACCTGTGAAAACATCTCGTGTTCGGGTTCCAAGTCCAGTTCAACTTTCTTGCCACCAATATTGGCCTCTTTTCGATGCTTTCAAAGCCCGAATCCAACGAGGCAGCCAAGAAGCATTCAAGCGTCAAACCAACAACGCTTTAAAAGTAGCAGGCACAAAACAAGACATCAACACGGGCTTTACTCGGAAAGTGCCTTATACTAGAGAGAATAAAAGCATTTCGGGATTCTTCTCCCTGGTTAATTTTGATATTCTCACCATCAAATATTTTGATCAGCATCGATGGCGTGCTCAGTTGTGGCTGGTGTTTTCCTTCAAAGCCGTTTTAGATGACAAACGATACTTTTGTTGATTTCTCATTGGTCAATCACTGGTCCCTTTCTCCATGATTTTATGTCCCAAACCCTTCCATTCCCTCACTATCCCCTCTGTTTACTACATACACTTGTTGACTATACCATAAATGACAATAAATCCACTGATTGCCGTTGGTCAAATGCACTTGATAGCCTCGATAGCCTCGATAGCCTCCAATATCTAAAGATATACCCTTGTATCATTCGCCGAATATCGCATCACATTAATGGCCCTAGGAGGAGGCACTTGATTAGGACGGGAGAAAAATATATTTGATCATGTCGTTCCTCTTTCGCAGTCTCGAGAACACTTCTAATACTTCATCTCATTCTCATTCTTCTAACAAAATGGCGACGAATTCAGGAAAGATTCGTACACCTGAAGAAGCTGGTATGTTCATACTCTCCGTGCTATCAGTTCTATCTATCAGTTCCACAACCCTGTTATGCGGCACCTTTCCCCTCCATTCACCCCCCACTTCAAGAGATTCTATGACACTGATTTTGTTATTTACCATGAATAGTGGCAAGAATTGCATATTTGTCCAGCGATGTAATCATTTCCGTGCAGCCTGCTCATTCAATTGAGTCGGAGTTCTCTTCACATTTACACAGATATGCTGGAAGAAAGGATCTGAGTCTTGTTGCTGCGAATGAGAGTGGTGTTCCAGAGGTAAGTTATCCCAGGTTACATTCCTCCAGTGTGAATTAAAGTATTAACGTAATATTCATCTAGTTACAAACGATTCGCCACAACAATGATCCTTTATTATCAGTATTCACACCAATCCGCAATGGAAAACTTGTTACAGTCACTACAAGTTCCTCAATCCTCGTTTCTTCCGTACCCCACCTATACAGACTCGCCAACTTCCCAGTGGTCATTCACGTCTCATTACAACCCTCACAGTATCCAGATTACTCTTCGATAACTTCGATACGAAATTCTGGCTTCACATTTTTACAATCCGAGACATTACAGGAGGCACAAGACATTGCTGTGACTGCACATGCTCTTGCTATCAAGTCAGGAAAAGGTGTCATTCATTTCTTTGATTCCAGATCGGCAGCCAACGATGAGGATGTTGATTTCGAGGATCCCAATGTTGTCTCAAAGATACTGAATATCGATTCCGTGAGAGTGTTTCAAAGTAGCAAGATTGGAGGTTCTAGCATACATGCCGATGATGGAAGAATTGCAACTATTTCCGAAAACGTTGCAACAGGCGTCACGTCCGGAGGGGAGAATAGTACCGAGTCTGCTGTACCAGGCCAGACAACCACTGAAGTACCATCTAAGGCTTCATCTGTAGGGTCTTCCAAATCTTCTTCAGTACGAGCAAGCAGTGTGGATAGCAGTGCTTCTTCTGCTACAACTGTTGATGCGCCAAATGCACGCGCTGTAAGCTCGGACGATATTTACAACTTTGTCTCTGGCATTTGGGATCAATTGAAATTGATGGTTGGCAGAGAATATACTCCTTTTCAATACACTGGCCCATCGAATGCTGAAAATGCCTTGTTCATTTTTGGATCGGATGTTGGATTGTTTGGCCGAGCAATTGACGAAGGGGCCGATGAAGTTTTTGCAAAAGCTGGTATCATTACTGCACGTTTGTATAGGCCATGGTTGGGCTCCAAATTAATTGAGGCGATCCCTAGATCTATTAAGAGAATCGCTGTTCTCGAGCAAATTAGAAGAAAGACAACTAAATGGGGACCTTTACTTTTGGATTTACTTACCACGCTCAAATCGGGACCTGGAGGCGGTGTAGAAGTTATCGTTGGACACCAATTGGGATTTATTGAACCGGATACAGTTCGACAAGCACTTCGTGGTGTTGTACAAAATTTGGTTTCCGAGAAGCCGGTTCAGAACTTGGAGGTCGGGAATCCCGATGGACCTAATGAATCTTCAAGCGGGTCTGCTTTAAGCCAACCAAAAGTCGAGTCTGCTTATATGAAGATCTTGGACCAGGTCTTCGGCAAGAGACTTCATTTGGCAAATCAAATCGATTCCCAAAATGCTGGTATCTCGTCCACTGTTGCGTCAAATCCAGAATTTGGTTTTGGTTCTCTCTTAGCTAGAAAGGAGCATCGCCAAAGGTTTACCGAGGAAATTAAGGAGGCGGCCCAATCTAAAGAATTCATCACAGAAGCACCTAAATCATGGCTATCAAAATGGTCTGCAGGTGCCAGTGATGATTTGGCAGACGAAATCATTGCTCGTCTTGAAACAGATGGATCTGCATTATCACGAAACTTACTGTCCAAGAAGGGATTATTCCGCAAGGAATCTCCTTGGCTTGTTGGCTCTGATGCTTGGGCTTACGACCTTGGCAACTCTGGTGTACACCACGTCATTGCATCCGGTGAAAATGTCAACATGCTCATCATCGACTCCACACCATACTCTGAGCGCTCAGCCGCTGATGCCGAAAGAAGAAAGAAGGACATTGGTCTTTATGCTATGAACTTTGGTAACGCTTACGTTGCATCTGTTGCTGTGTATAGTTCTTATACTCAAGTGCTACAAGCAATGATTGAGGCAGATCAATTCAATGGCCCATCTGTCGTCGTTGCTTACCTTCCATATTTCAAAGAAAATGATTCCCCTCTTACAGTTCTCCAAGAAACTAAGAAGGCGGTCGACCTCGGCTACTGGCCATTGTAC